CTGAACTTCTGCGCCGCGTAAACCAATCAGGAGCCTGCTTGCTGCTGTCATGTGGTGAAGTGACAGTTTATAATGTTATTTTATGTTTGGCCTCAATAAACTATTTTGTAATATGACAAAAATACTTGGTGTGCAAAGCAAATCTTTCACATAAAAACTCGATTTCAATATATGAGAGATAATCATTTTGTATTGAATGCTATTTATTCCATATCTATTCTATGAAACATTATTATTCTAATGTAAAGACAACAAACACAATTTAGTGTATAAAAACTTTTTAAAAAATCACAGGACAGGTTTCACTTTTGGAGGCTCCATTTATTATCAAAACAAAAATAAATGACAGATTAGGTGTGTGCGGGCGAGGGTGAACCTCGCGCCGGGCTGTAGAGCGCAGGCTCGACAGGCATAGACCACTCGAGGCCGAGGCCTTATACGGCCTACGCTGTCCTCGTCAGCGTCCTCACCGTTAGGTCCACCAAACCTAGCTCCTGGCAAATTGTGAAACTCCTGAAACCCTCCGGAGGGTCTGGTGGACCCGAGTACAGCGACGATGTCCCCTACGCAGCTGTTTCTGCTCTCCAGAGCATATACCAGCGGTGACTCTCTCGAATAATGCTAAAACTAATGCTCGATAAACATCTAAAAAGATGGCCGCCAAAGGGTGCCGCCTCTGACGCGCGTAAATTTCGCTTCAAACTTTTGTTTTTACGCGCGTCAATTTCGCAATTGACACGCGAATTAACACAAAGTGGTCAAGCGTCAAACTAGACGCGGTAGACGCGAATTTGACGCGCTATTCGCGTCCGGTGTGAACGTAGCATACCACTAAACTTTGCCTATAGGCATATTGCATATTAATTGTTCTAGGAACCTCAAAGCATATTTAAATTTTTGTGTAATTTGTGCTACTCCATAATGATGTTTGTAGCGTATAGGGCCCAAACATAAACTCAAGCCCAGGGGCCCCCAGCCCCCTAAGTCCTGCCCTGCACGCAGTAGCCGGTTTGATTTTATGTTATAACAGGGGTTTGTGTGTTAATGCTTTAATAACACATAATTTATCAGGATCATTTATGCTGATGTGTATGATGGCCACACGTAGGCTAACTTGAAAGTATTTGGAGGTGCAGAACAGAGGAGGACGAGGAGGAGAGAAAGTAACATAGAAAGTAGTTGAGAACGAAAGTTATAACGACCCACGTATTAAAATGGTCGGTTTAAATCGGGCTCGGGCTCATAATTATAGTTAATGTGTCGGGCCGGGCTCGGACACAACGTGCACGGGCTTGGGTAGGGTCGGGCTTGATTTTTTGGGCCCGATCTAAGCTCTAATGTTAAGTTGAGCACGGACACTCCAATGTTTGGGTAAAATGATGACACACACAACTGGATGTTAGCTGGCTGAGCAAATTCAGCATCACTGAAGATTAAACATTAAAAATAGCACTCATATTCATGAATGAATGTGTATTAATTTATATTATTAGCTTGCTAATCGCTAGTAAAGCTAATTATTAATTAGCCATCATGCTAGGTAAACTTGCATGAGTGCTCTTTTTTTAATGTTTAATCTTTAGTGATGCTGAACTTGCTCAGCCAGCTACCCATCGAGGCAGAGGAGGCATCTATCTAGGTGAACCGAACGCGAACAATGGTATAATGATTCAGTTCAACTCCCAAGACAAGATGATGCTCACCCGACTGGCCAATAGCAACGTGGCCCCGCCCATGACACAATTTTCACAGCTAAAGCAAAATCCTGACAGAAGAGCAAAAAATTGCATCGAGAGCAAAGAAAAGCGTTTTGAGAGAAACACTTTTTTTTTTTTTTGAGAAAATGTTTTCACACTGATAGCAAAAAATATATATTTAAGATTTTTTTTAAAGTATTTTGAGAGTTTTTTTTTCTCAGAAATAATTTTAAAAATTTCAAATTTATATTTTTTTTATGTTCTATGAGAAAACACTTTCAACTTTTTTTCTCTCAAATATTATTTTTTCTCTCATGAAATGCTTTTTTGCTATCAGTGTGATAACTTTTTCTCTCAAACTTTTTTTTCTTCTCTCAGATCATTTATTTTTTCGCACGTAATAAAGACTAATTTCTAGCTCCATACTTGGGCCAATACAGAGCTGGCCTCGATGAACGTCTGAAAATAAATCGGTCAAGCTACAAAGCAACAATTTCTGATGTGTAGCCCTGGTGTAGCCTAATTGTTCAAGTTCAGACAGGTAAGTTAATCTTTCTCTCAAAATCGTTCAATACTGTTTATGCATCAAGTCAAGCCAGTGACTAAAATCAACTTCACATCGTTTATTTTTGTAGGATGAAAACTTCAAACCCTGAGGGGGTTTATGCCCGCCTAGCACTATGTTGATATTTTGGCTTCTGGAATGGTCAATTTTCATAGCAGAGTGAAGAGAGTCATATTTCTGGATTCTATAGACTCTCAGCTACAATGTGGATGCATTTACAATACACTTCTTAAGACACTTGTATGTCTTCTGCTGTGATATATCACCAAGAAATACAAAAACAAAAGTTCAATTTTTTTGTTTTTATTATAGAAAAATATTAAACCATAGATGATTAAGGGATTTTACAACAAATATTGATTCGTCAAAGGCTTTAGAAAAAAAATAAAAAAAAATGGGTGAAAAAATATAAAGAAACAAATGAACTATTTACATTTTTGTGACTGTAGTCACCATACTTTTTGTTTTGTTTTGAAAAACACAGCAATTATAAGAAAATGTAAAGGGAACACAAATATTAATTTTGAATTGAATATTGTCTACACATCCAAAAACAACCTCTAGATGTCACTGTGCACTGCATTTGCACATCAGTCCATCCTGGGCGCGGGCGCGTTCAGAGTCCTGGGTTGCGCAATGATGCAATCGGCTGTTCTGGGGCTGTTCTAAAACACACAATGTGGTAAATAAAGATTAGCTATTCATCATCATGCGTGTATTTTTCCATCCAAGTCATAGAACTTCTAACTACAATAATCTAACTATTATTACAGGAGCGTTCATCATTACGCACCGAGTATACAATGTCTTCCAAACACCCTCCTATGTAGACAAATAGTACAGGCCTTAGAATAAGGCTTATTTCTGAAAAGCTACAATAAAATTTCCCTAAAAAAACATTACAATAAAATAGACAAGCAAAGTAAACGAAATAGCTTGCAAATGAAGAGGGACTAGCTGCTAGCAGCTAAGTTACATGCGGCCAAAACGCGCACATTACTTGATGGCGCACATTATTTGATTAGCCTACTGCTCCGTTATTTCTGAAAAGCTAAAATAATTTTGCTAAAAAAACTGATACAATATATATTAGAAAAGACATTATCAGCAATATTGCATTCATTACTTACTCCTCAAATGGATCGATTCCGTCCAGAACTTGATCATCTTCATCCGAATCAAATCGATCTGGATCAGATCCGTTCTGACTCTCATCGCTCTCGGCAAAAATCATTTCAGCAGCTTGCTCGGCAGTGAATCCGTTTGGCCATGTTTTCTTTGAAAAGAATCTAGTACAAATACGTGTATCTCCAAATGTGTTGTGTTCAAAGACCGTTGCGAATCCCACGTGGGATTGATTCCAAACCCCTCCCCTTTTTTACGTTCCTGAAAACGTCATTTTTTGTTTTTGGTCTGTGATTGGTTCACACACAGGTCTGTCATTGGTTCACACACAGGTCTGTCATTGGTTCACACACAGATCTGTCATTGGTTCACACACACACACCCACAACAGATCTTTATAACAATAGATAGGATTAAGTACAATTTCTCCGTTTTGCGGTAAAATGCTATAGATTTGCACTCAAATACGGAAGGCTTTTCATTCGCGGAAGTCAACAAAGTCAGGGTCCTTTTACGCAGACGAATGTCAGCTTTTTAATAAAAAAAAAAGTAAGTTAATACCTTGATCCATTCCGAAGTTATTAATAGATTTGTAAGGGGAGTGCATCTTGACGCTCTAGAGCGTCAATCGGGTTTGAAGGGTTAAATTGTGAATAAATTATATACAGAAAGCATCAAAGAACAATTTTTCCACACTGCTCGAGTTTATCTGGACAACTTTCGTTATGAAATCAATGACGTACGTTACACTGCACAACTAAGCTTTGCATTGGTGAAAGCATTTAGAGAGAGTGCAGAAACTGCGTTGCAATGATAAGATCTTCATTCTCGCGATCAACAGACTGTCATCTGATTGCTCAATGCTCATCACGGCAACATTTTATGTGATGGGAAATTGGGAATAGATCTAAATACTTTAAAAACATCTCACGATTCGTTAATCTCGATAGCTGTAATAGTAAAAACGTATAATAGCTGTAGTAAAACTAAGTATTCGAGAGAGTTTCACATGTAATGCGTAGCTATTTCATATGCAAGCATGTCAGCCAATCACAGCAGTGGGCGGTTGCACTGAATCCCACAGCAGACACGGCCCTTCAAACAGAGCGTTCAAATCAGAGGCTAAAATCAGGCTAGGAAGAATGCCTTTTATTTCTAAAAATTATGACTATTTTTGATCTAAAAAAAATACTAACATTATAAGGGCAACCCAGGAAACATTATAAAATAATAAAATAACCCCATTCTAGGGCACCTTTAATAGTTTTCTTATTCTGTACATTTGTTCTGACAGTTGCACCGCCTGACATTTTGGGGATTAAAGATCAAAACTTAAAATAATATGTATTATTATTTAAATGTACTAAAAATGAATTTAAACTTAACAGGTTTTATAGAATAAAGTGATATATGTCATGAATTTATCAAATTATTTTAAAAGGAAATAATGCACTTGGACACAAAAATATGCACGTCATGTCATTGACCCAACAATAGTATGTAATGTAACAACATGCTCTAAACATGAACCAGCTGTATGCGCACATATTTAATCATGACTTCTTAAAATGAAATATATTTCTCTCCTCATGAAGTAATGTCTTTTTTCACAGGTTCATTTACATAAGCACCAACCAGAACAGGTGAGTTTAGTACAGACATATCCACTACAAAAACAGTGCAGATGCAGATGTGTTTTACGCTTGATTTATTTATATATATATAAATAAATAAAAACTTTTTTTTTTACTGTTTTAGTTGCAAACAACAGATGATAGAAAAAGTATTCAGAAAGTAAGTAATGATGTAATGCATACATACATCTGATCTCTCTCTTCAACACACACACAAAAAACTAATAAACACATGCGCACTTTGTACTTACTTACTATGTATATTCTTATGTACACCAAAGCGCACACCATCATAATTCAAATGAGTATTAGATTGATTCTGTTATTATCAGGTCAGAAGAGAAGCTTGAGAACTTTGGATTGCGCTCATCTCCGGGGTCTGTAAAACTTTATTTATGCTCTGATTATACTTGGTATCTTTGTTATGGACACACAATCAAAAGGAATAATTAGGAATAAATAAATAAAACTTTCTTTCTTTTCTCAAAAGAGTTTCTTTTTTCTTAGCAAGTTTCTTGGGAGTAAAAAAAAAAGTCAAATCTTGTTCAAGTAAACAGACTCTCATCCAATGAGCTGATAAATGTGAATTTGATCGGTAGTTACTGACTACTGCTCAGTTCAGAAACATTCTTGGTTCATGGCTGTTTTTATGGCTCTGATCAGATGACCAGATGAAATGTAATTTGTCTTACAGGTTTCTGTACAACCAACCCAGCGCCTTGATAGGGTGAGTATTATATTTTTAGTATTAACTTGTTTTTGCCCATTTCCACCCATGAATGGAATGATAACAGTGCTGTGTATGTTTTGTGTTTTTAATACAGTCGGACAGATGTTGTCTCTATGACACCATGGTTATCCCCAATCATTTGGGAAGGAACCTTTGACCCAACACTGATTGATTCTATCTACAAACAACATAATCTCACCATAGCGACCACTGTCTTCGCTTTGGGAAAGTGAGCTCCTCATGATTCCTCTCATGTTTCAATATTTCTAATTCCTATCCCCTCCTCTGTATTTCTTTCTTTGTTTATGAAAATAGAAATGAGTAAAGGATAAAGTGATAAGCTAACCATGATATATCTCGCTGTGCCTGTTTGTTAGATACACACGTTTCCTCAAAGATTTTCTGGAGTCAGCGGAGGAGCATTACTTTGTTGGATTTCGAGTGCATTACTACTTGTTTACGGATCAACCAGAAGCAGTTCCTGAAGTAAAGATGGGTGAAAATCATCATTTGACAGTTCGGAGGGTTCCGAGTTTGGACCGATGGCAGGACATAAGTATGGGCAGGATGGAAATACTTGAAAAACTAATAAAGAACGAACTGGCCAATGAAGCTGACTATATTTTTTGCCTGGACGTGGATACAAAGTTCTATGGCCGCTGGGGGGCGGAGTCTTTGGGTCGCCTGGTCGCTGTGATACATCCTTGGTTCTTTGATTATCCAAGAGATCAGTTCTCATATGAGCGTAGACCAGAGTCTCAGGCATTCATTCCAGCTGGGGAAGGTGATTATTATTACACTGCTGCTGCATTTGGTGGCTCATTGGATGATGTACATCATCTCACCAAAACCTGCTGGGAACAGCTGAACATTGATGCTGCAAACTCCATTGAGGCGATATGGCACGAGGAGTCTCACTTGAACAAGTATTTCCTTTATAACAAACCCAGTAAACTTCTCTCTCCTGAATATCTGTGGCGGGACATCAATGCTGGTGTGGGCCAAGTGAAAATAATTCGCTTCTCTCATGTAGCTAAAAACAATGCAGAAGTTCGCCCAAACGTGTAGCAGCTGTTGCCAGCATTCAGCTGACATGCTGTGTTCTCAATGGCCTACCGAAAGACATTGAGAATCTCAAGTCTTGCCACAAGTAATAGTGATATGAGGGAAGTTGATTTCTGCCACCAATATCGACATGAGCATAATGTTGGTATGTGGCACCATGAACAAAATCTGCCTAAATCTTGTTGAACTGATATAAACGTATCTTTCTACAGAACTCTTCAGTTTATTGTGCAATCAAAAAAAAAATCAAACCTCTTTTTTAAAAGGATTTGAGGGAGGAGGTTTAGCTACAGTAAACTGATCTGAAGCTGAACCAATTGTGAACTTGAAAGAAATTTAAATTTCTTTTCTGGGTACTACTGCATAAATATAATATAAATTTACTTTTCAGCATGATCTCATTAATATTCATAGTTATTTGCATGCAAGGTTGCACCTGCATTTTGGGGAGGCCTAAATCTAAAGACAAATTTTCATATTCATATTCTTTATATAAATATACTATTAATTATTTGAATATACATTTATTGAAATGTAATATTATAAATATACAATTATAACATAAATAAACTCTTTACTATATATTTTGAGCCATTGACATTAACATTATACAGTATATACAGTAGACCACCTATATATATATATATAAATAATGGGTAGATAAATGTACAGTGACAATTAAGAATGCTGATTTTTGTTAAATAAAAGCGACGAGACTGAACATATTTGATGTCAATAATTAAATATGTTAATAATGTCTGCAAATGTACAAAGTCTATGCAAATGTACAAAAATGTATGCGTTCTATTTTGTTTATGAATACTGACATTACTAATGGATCACATGGCATTTTTTTGAGGTTGATGGGTTTTTGGATGTTACTAGCAAATTCTGAATATATGTATACTTTTGTTTGTTTGATTGTTTGTTTTAAGAAAAGCACATGTTTGCATATTGGTAATCAGGCAAATAAATAAAAAATAATAATAATAATAATAATATTTGGGATAACAAATATGAGCATTGATTGTTTGTTCTATTGATGGCCTCTTTAAAGAAAATATACCTAGGCTATACTATTCTGACCAATTGCGTAGCTTGAGCAAAGGCTTAAGAGATAGTGTACAATTTGAAAAACTCCAGAAAGCAGTCTTCATAACTTTAGTTACATTACTGGTGATTGTTCTTCTCAATATTTTTTTTTTTTAACTACTAACAAGAGGAGAAAATATGTATGAGTATTATCATAAACGTTGTGTCACTTTTTGATTTATGATGTGATTTATGGCCGTATGTCGGTACAGGGTTTTGTGCCTGTCACCCCATGACTGACATGTGTCAGTCACGACTGTCGTAGTGTTCTTGTATCAAGTAAACAGTGTTTCTGATTTACGACGCGTGTGCTGGCGGCAGCGTGTCTAGTCAGCTTGGCTCCGCAATGTGGTGGCATCCGGGAGGGGATATTTAAGGTGTTTGGCCATATGTTTCCGTGCTCTATTGTATCTTTAGGTATTGGCTATAGGTGTTATAAATGTGTGTTAATTATGTCGGCGGCTGCGGGTCTCGCCGGAGTTCACACTTATGCCACTTTTCAAAACCGTATAAAGCCATGTAGCGCAACAACGCTTAAACTGATCTGACCAGCGCTGCATCACGCGTCTCTGGGTTTTTTTTTCTCCTCGTTCTCAAACGTGAGTGCAAGAAAGATGGATGCCTGTCTTAACAGTAAGTTTTGTTTAATTTATTTAGTAATATTATTACGAAGCTTTATCTGTTTATAATATGAGTCATTTGTTCTATTGCGTTACTTAAGGTTTCTCTGCGCTGCAGGTGGCGTCAGTCTCACAGCAGGGCTTATTGATGAAATTAATTTCCTGAATCAAGCTAGTGGTATGTATAATTACGTTTTATGTTTAAATGTTACATAGTGTATGTGTGTTGTGGATAACCGTGTTTTTGTTTGTTTTTGTTTCACAGGACCGGTGTTGTGCCGTGCAACTGCTGCGCCACTCAACACTGTCGCATCACGAGAGAGTGTGGGCACGCTTGTGCCCGGTAATTTTAAATGTTGCTACACTCTGTGTTTTAAAAGGGTGTTTTGGATGTGTAAAAATACCTTATCTTCTTTGTGTTTTTTTACCAGGGCCGAAACGGAAAACTATCACTGCGTTAGTACACACCTCCTCCGTGTGACAGCGCGAGCGCTAACGTTACGCCCCTTGGTAAGTGCCTTGTAATTCGACTTTATCAAACATTATATTAGTATATGCTGCTATGGTTTTGTTGATTTTATTTTAATGTGTATTTCCAGAAGGATTATCAAACGTAGTGAGTGCGGTTGGTAACGTTACGCCTGAATATACGAATGATAAGGGTAGCTTCAGTGGAATAACGGCAAAACCGAAAAATACGCTGAACGTAAAGCTACGGTTGACTCGCGGGCTTCGAGAGACGTGGATTTCGTACCATCGACATCTGCCCCGAAGAAACCAAGACGAGCAGCAGTTAAAAGTATGTAACAAACAAAAAGATGTTGGGTTGTTTGCGGCATATCTGCATCTGATTCAGATTCAACAGAAGAGTAGCCTACAATGTTTTTATTTGGCTGTATTGAGAGGTTAAGTGTAACGTCCCTATAAAAATGACTATGTGATAGTTTTTAGATGTGTGTTTGTGAACGTATACTGTGTCAATACGTTAGTTTAGTAATTAACATACGCATTTAATTGTTGAAAACCCTGACTCCAATGAACTGTGTGTAATGGTGCGTTCACACCGGACGCGAATAGCGCGTCAAATTCGCGTCTACCGCGTCTAGTTTGACACTTGACCACTTTGTGTTAATTCGCGCAAGAGTGAAACTGACGCGCGTAAAAACAAAAGTTTGAAGCAAAATTTACGCGCGTCAGAAGCGAAATCTGGAGGCGGCCATCTTTTTTAGATGTTTATCGAGCATTGGCATTAGCATTAATCGAGAGAGTCACCAGCCGTTTCTCAATGTCAAGGAAGGATCCTCGGAAGCCGGAATTTTGAGGATGCTACGTCATCGACATCCGTCGAAGGACTGTTCCAATGTCGAGGATCCTCAGAATTTCAACCAAGGACTGAGTCCTTCGTTCGGAAAATATCCCATACACAGGAAAGGATGCATATGTGTAGACTTCGCGCTCTTCGCGCTCTCAAATCGCCCACAATCCTATGCCCGCTTTGCTATCTTGTTAAAAAAATACACAATGTCGGACGTTAGCGGAGTCGGAGCAATAACGGGGCAATATGCTTTCAAATGTAAATATTTACGTTACCATACATTTGTTATAACCGTCATATAAGTAAAGTTTAACGTTTAAATGCCAGTACAAATTACTACCATATTGATATTACAAATTATACAAATACATACTAATTTAATACGTTATTATTGATGGCTAACTGAACCGGACCTGTCATTTTAACAATTGTTAGCTTGTTTGCTGTCACCGGCATTTCTTTTATAAATAACTACTTGTACAAAGTAGGCTAATGTAACGTTAATATTATACCATTCAGAGCGTTATTCATAGCTTTCTCGTCTTTTTTAGCAGGGACCAACGGACCTTTTCACTGACATAATGACGCAATCAGGGGCGGATTGGCCATCGGGAATACCGGGAACAATCCCGAACGGCCGGTCCATTTCAGGCCTAAGACCGGCCGGTGGTCAAAGAGCATTGTTTTTTTTTTTTTTTTTTTTTTTAATGATACGCGACAGGTGTAGCAGTCGATTCGGTTCCCTACCGGAATTCCTGTTCCCCCTGACAACGCATGCGTAGCAGTTGCAACGAAGCTCAGCTGGATGTACGGAAAGCGAAAAAGGCCAAAAGCATTGGCGCAACATTTAAATGTCTTGATACACTGTCTGCAGCATAATAAAATGGTTCTCGCACTCCAATCATATTTCTGTGAATTAATTTAATTAATTTAGCACTTGTTCATAGTTTTTGTATTATGTCTGAATATATTCAGTTGAATTGTGCCCATACAAATCGCCTTATGTGTCCATGTTGACATCCAAACTCAATGCCTCATATTATTGTCTTATTATTATTTATAAAGATTGCAAAACGTCAGAGATGACAGGTTTATGATATACAACTTTGTAAACAATATAAAAATATATTAACAACAAGTTCAATGTCACCAAAATACACACGTGTATTTGTGTATGAGAAAAATAGTTCCTCAGTTCCATTATAGTTCCATTATTGTCACAAGGGAAACACATTTTCAGGTGACACCTTTTGTTCCCTGTATGAAATAAAAATAATGAAATAAATATGAATAAAACCATATATTGCTATTACTACCTTTATTATTATTTTTGACATGCAAGATATAGGCTATGGGTGCAACATAACAGTCTAATCATAATTAATTCAATTTCAGAGGGCACTAATTAAATGAATAAATTACCCATATTAATAAATGGTGTTCTAAATTGGGGAGATGACCACACAACATTGTCTCCTGAATTTTTATTCTTGCTGGCACATTCCAACAATGGATCCAAAAATGTATGGGGAAATCATGAACTACAAAACTCAAGGCACATACCCATTTGCATTAAAAAGACCATAAATATGTAATTCTCAGACGTTCCTCCAATTTCCAAATTGATGGCAATTAATTCCAAATGATAATTATTCTACACAGTGGAGACAGCTCTAGATAACTCTACAGACAGGACTCAGGAGTGAGGTATAGTGATACAACAAGACTTGATACAAACAAAAAGCCCATACTTGTCCATGGACTATAGCCTTCTTATAATTAACTTGCCAGGAACTAGAACATCAAAAATAACCTATCCTGCAATTTCAGTTTAAATTAGCCTATTTCTTTCATTGGGCCTTTGTAAAGGGGCCATCTAAATTGTTGTTTAGATTTATTTTACTAAAGCTAATAAAGCTATTTCAATAGATGGCCAACTTTACTACCTCTCCTCAAAAAATGGAATATATGTGTTTCTTGCAATAAATAACAATATCAGTCTTTCAAAACAAGCATTATTTATTTTATAATATGAGACATTAAAAGCACCTGTGAAGTGATTGTGATTCAAATAGTCCTGCACTAGAGGCTTATCTGTATTTTACAGTCTATGGTATTAACCAGAGCCTTAATAAAACATCACATTGAAATTGGTAATACGTTTTAAATTTGAAAATAACCTGGATTGAATTGACAGATGGGAAAACTCAATTAGGGCTACAAG